TGTATATATATATATATATATATATACAATATATATATACGCCAGAGTTTTTATTTTCTTAATATTTTATTTCATTTCATTTTATTTTTCAGGTTGTCACTATTTTTCACATTTTTAAACAATTATTCTACGTTTATTTTAAATTTTGCAAAGATATTGTATTTGTATAGTTTCCATTATATTTCTCTGCAACTCATTCAGATTAAGGCTGTTTAAAACATTTTTAATTTCTGGTTTATATTAAATAAAAGTTGTAATATTAGTTTAAAAAATATACGAAAGGTAAGTTGCATAAATGTGCAATTAAATATATGCTCATACCTTCTTCATATCATTACTTGAGACAATACGTTATTGTAATAGTTATTTCCGCATTATAATTTTTCCTAAAAGTCAGACTACAATATATTCAGCTGTCCATATGTATAATAATTAATATGTTCACGAAAAATATCTAACGTTAGTACGATTGATGCCACAAAAGAAAGGTACTTCTCATTTTCAAACTTCAACGCGTGTCTCATAAATCAACCAATTTCACACTTTTTTCATCAGCAATCCACTATATTCACTGTCGATCCTCTAAACCAAACTGCAAATGAAATAGACAAGACAGTCTCTGAGATTTGCCAACGTTCAACATCGACGTTTAAAATGTGTATCGTCAAATATTCTTTCTTTACGAAAAGTGTTATTACTTCCCGTATAAACTCATTTAAGAACAAAATCATTTTATTTTATAATATGAATGAACAATGTTTCCATGTTTCAATTAATATCTTTTCTAAAAATGTGTTTGTCTTAAGTTATGTGGAAATATTAATTTGTTAAATTTGCCCTTTACGCCATCTGCTAAATGAAACGTTTAATAGCTGTAAAGAAATTTCGAACCATTGTCCTTGTATAGCCACATTCCCGAAATAAAAATAAATATACGTGAATTGAAATATAACTTTAACGTACGTTAAACATATTCATATAGGTTTTGCTTCTTTGGATATATTTATTTGTAACTAATCTCTTTGTTCAGGAAAATCGTTCAGCTAATTGTGTTTCAACCTAGTTGATAATTTTGATAAACCTCAAGTGTATATTTTTTCATAAAACTAGAAAATTTGTTATGTTAACTAGTTAAATGTGGAAAATATTCGGCTGTAACTTCCTATTTGTAAATTGAATTTTGTTGAAATAAGCCTTTATTTTGCTCCAAACGATGGTTTATTCCTCTGAGACTATTGTTTTATAGAAAATAGATAATTCATTGTTACTTGTTGAGATTAATATTTACTTATTGTTTTAAATCTGTTTATTAGATACAAATAGATTAGCTTTAAATGGTCGACTTTGTCGACAGTGATAAAAATAGGCCAGTCATATTGTGATGTTTTAAATGTAATGAAGATTTTTTTTATATATAAAGTTAATAATGTATCACTGTTTTTCGTATATGTGAACAGAATTGGTAACTGTCACTGTTAAAGACTGCATTATAAATGATTAATTCAAGTTACATAGATATATGCATTGTTGAAATCAAACCTTTAAAGTATTGCAAGTTCAATATTTATTAGATATGTGTATATATTGTCATGTGCTATTAAGGGTATTGTTTTAAACAATACAACTTTTAATTAAATAAGTGTACTTGTAATTCCAGTAATTATCTTTAATAAAGTGACACCTATATAATATCAATTAAGTTGTCTAACGTTGTGTTATTCGAAAATACTTATATTAAAAAAAAAGTTGGCCATGCGGGGTCTTAAAATCAGTGACCCTGCTAAGTACGCCCCACACTTCGTGCTGTGGGTGCGTTATTTGGTTGAAGACCGGAAAAAGCCCTTGTGGCACTGTGGGTGCTACTGACTGACAACCTCCCCTTTGATCAATGGTTTAGAATTAAGGACGGCTATACGTGAGCCCAAGGTGTTTTGTTTCTAGATTAATCAAACTTAACGAAAAATCGATCCATGAAATTGTGACCAAAGAATCACACTTCATGTTGAATAATAGAACAACTGACCATGGGCTCGCCACTTGTTCCCATCTTATCAATTTCTTTCTCATCACGAAACTAATTGGTTGCAGTCCTATCTGTGTAAATTTAAGCCTTTAGTCTATGAGATATGTTGATGACACTTTTATTGTATTCAGGGAACAGTCATTTCAAAAATTCCAAGACTACTTAAATTCTAGACACATGAATATCAATAACAGGTAGGCAAACAACAAATTATAAACACAAGGAACAATTTTGCTGATGGTGGAACATACTACATGTTCCACAACTAACAAAAATATTTCTAATGTTTATAAATCGTTGTTTGCTTACATATTACATATTATATGAGCATAAAGTACTACCTTACTAAAAACAAAACAGGAATATCAATTTTTCAGTTGAAGAACAAAGAGAATCGGAATTACCTTTTTTTATATCTACAGGTCATTAACCTGAACAACAGGTTCGAAACTAGATACTTCTGCAAACCAACATCTTCTGGTCTGTATTGTCATTTCAGTACATTTATTATATTTGGTTGTTATAAAACAAATTTAATAAGCATTCTATTTCATAGAACTTAAAAACTTACTTGGTATTATTGTAGTTTTCATGAAGTAATCAATATAAAAAAAATAATCGTTTAAAATGTCTCCCCTCTAGTATTCACCAACAAGTGTATTTTTGAATATCTTAATAAAGTTTAAACTTCCAAGATTCTAGACTCCAACGTTCCCGAATTTTCTATCATCATTCAGTGGTTCTCTTGGCATCAAACTAAACGGAAATGTCAAGAACATTTTACAATCAGCTTATCCACAAGTCAGCCTAAAAGTGATTTTCAAGCCGAACAAACAAAGATATAATACTTCTTTCAAAATGGTCGCTTGTGGTGTATCAATACACATGTCTGTGCTGTAGACATGTCTAATTGATTCAATGACACCAATCCTAGCTGCTAGAATCAAGGAGCATGCGCAAAACAGCCCTTCTAACAATTCTGGAACTTACAAACATTAAACAAAGACAGTAGCGAAAAGCCAAATATCGAACATAGATAG